GCTCTGTGACTGGTCGGCTTGGTAGCGCTGACGAGTCGGGGCGGGACCGAGAGCCGCACGAATGGCGCAAGCCCGATGTAGTGATTGTTTACAAGTGTGGAGTCCCGTGAAGAAGCTCCGGGTGGAAAGTTTTGTTTTGTGTTTACCTCATAGTTAAAGTTGTTGCACGTCCGCCGGTTCCTGCCTCAAAATGAGCGAGTTTGAGTCACTTGTACATCCAGGAAGTGTTCAGGAAAAGCAAAACAGAAGCGAAGAAACTCGACACAGAGGAACATTTACACCTCACTGCCAACTAGCCTTTTGAAAGTGTTAATGCAGACCGACAGAGACAGCGCGCAGAAGTATAAATGCACAGCTACGCGCGTTGCATGCGCCGTGAGTTACGCCGGTCACTTGACGCAGAGGTATAAACCAGGCTTTACACTAGTTTTTCCTCCATGTGGGTCCAAATAAACTGAAAACGAGCAGTTTTAGCTTCTCCCCCAACCTCCCGCTGTCCTGCAGATACCCACACTAGTGGATGCTGCTCTCTCATTGGCTGTAGGTGATCGCCGATGTTATTTTCAGTCAGAAATAATTTCACACGGCATCATTTGAATCGCTGACAGCTCCAGATATTTAGATATATCTCACTGGTATTGGGAACTCATCTGCGATTCTCAGATCGCGTATTTGATAGTTCACACTGTGTGATTGTTACTTGTGTGAATGAGCACCGATTTGCCTGTGATTTCAGGCATTTGTCTGCGATTTCTCAAAACCTGTCGGCGAGTTAAAAATCTGGGCTAAAATCATGCAGTCTGAACTCGGCATTAGGTTTGCGCCCTTGTCCTTTACACACTGAAATTCCTCTGGATTCCTTGAATCACTAACATAACCTACATTCTTGGAGTGCTGCACTATGAAATAAATTTATTTAAATGGTTTGTGCCAACCAAAAGAGGGGCGTGTTGCTACACAGACCGAAACACAAGAGCGGCGTCATATCATCGTTTTACCATCATATATATTTTATCAACTGCACAATTATCTTAAATGATAAAACCTGGAAGGGCTGGATCTTTAGATGATCTACTTACCGTGACCTTTATTTCTGTGATTTCGTAGAACACATAATTGTTTGAAACTCTTCCCACAGTCAGTGCAGCGATACGGTTTCTCTCCGGTGTGAGTCCTCTCGTGTGCTTTCAGGTGTCCTGAATGTCTGAATCTCTTCTCGCAGTGTGAACACTTCAAAGGTTTCTCTCCAGTGTGGATCATCATGTGACGCTTGAGATTGTATTTGCACGTGAAATTCTTCCCACACAGAGCGCAGATGAAACATTTTTCGGCTTCAGTTTTCACTGAAATGCCATGTTCAGTCTTTGTGTGAGTTGTTTCTTCGCTTTTGACCTGATGTTTCTCCTCATCTTCACTCTCCTCCTTCACAATCACATCTGAAAAGGAAGTAAATAAGTTTAACAAGTGTTTGTTTTTTTATAAATGTGCTTGTAGCAGCAAAGTTCTTAACTGAAAGCCTTTTCAATTATTTAAACTGGCAATCATGCTCTATTCTGAAAAAATGTCCTTACATGACATATTTGCTTTAGAATATTAGGCGAACTTTCAGTTTGTTTATTAGTTTGTGAAGGAATAGAATTACAGTCTAATGCTTCTTTTAAATTATATACATATGCTCATGCTTATTATCCATATGTTATGGATATGATATGACATCCATCTTTTCAATCCAGATGGATGGGGCAACCATTACTGCATCCAAAATGGTGAAAAGCCTTGGAGTAACGATTGATGACCAACTAACCTTCTCTGACCAAATCTCTAGAACTGCTCGATTGTGCAGATTCGCACTCTATAACATCAGAAAGATCCGACCCTTCTTATCTGAACATGCAGCTCAACTCCTTGTTCAAGCTCTTGTTCTCTCCAAACTGGATTACTGCAACTCTCTACTAGCCGGGCTTCCAGCTAACTCTATTAAACCTCTTCAACTGCTTCAGAATGCAGCAGCACGAGTGGTCTTCAATGAACCTAAACGAGCACATGTCACTCCGCTGCTCATCCGTTTGCACTGGCTGCCAGTTGCTGCTCGCATCAAATTCAAAGCTCTGATGTTTGCCTACAAAGCGACTTCTGGCTTTGCTCCTTCTTATCTGCTCTCGCTTCTGCAGATGTATGTGCCCTCCAGAAACTTGCGTTCTGTGAATGAACGTCGCCTCGTGGTTCCATCCCAAAGAGGGAAGAAATCACTTTCGCGAACGCTCACGCTCAATCTGCCCAGTTGGTGGAATGAACTCCCAAACTGCATCAGAACAGCAGAGTCACTCGCTGTTTTCAAGAAACGACTAAAAACTCAACTATTTAGTCTCCACTACACTTCCTAATCTGCAATTGCCTCTCTGGATATCACACTAACTGTACCAAAAAAATAAAAAATAAATAAAAAATACTAATACTACTAATACTTCCCTTCTTAGACTTTACATACCTGAAACTTGCCTATAGCACTTATTCATTGTTGCTCTTGGTTGTGTAAATTGCTTCCTTGTCCTCATTTGTAAGTCGCTTTGGATAAAAGCGTCTGCTAAATGACTAAATGTAAAATGTAAAATATGTGTTTGCTTGAACCATGATATTCTAATGAGCCCCCGCAGTGATATGATGAGACATTCCGTTTGACCTTAGAATGAGACAGGAACTTTCCACCCCTATAATGTCAAATAACTAAATCTGTAACAGACAAGTCTTGCAGAAAGCCCCTGTCTGGGTTGCAGCTGTGACGTGTGACTTTTCTATACAGAAAAGAGAACTGGAGCAGATGAGGAAAATATTGCTTTATTGTCTTACTAATCACTCTTTTCTTTTGATACATTTTTGCTATTTGAGGAAGATACTCCCATTTGCCTCACTATTCATTCTTTACCATATGTGTTTTTGTCAGATATGATGATGTCTCCTGATATAGCGTACTTCTATCTAACCCCTTTAATAATGTATTTGTAACTAACTGCTAAAACCACAAGAGCTGTGCGTGGGTGTTGGCTGGAGACAGAGCTGCAGAGGGGCTTCCTCTAGACGGGTGCATACACAGGTCAAGAGTTCATAGACAGGGTTGAGGGAAAAATAGATGTGGGCAGATGCAGCACCCGGATGCGGCATCTTTTGTACTGCTGTGTGTATGTATCTCTGTGTGCAGACCACATAGACATTTGAGAGACGATTCTGCCTGAGAACAACTGATGGCAACGATAGAGATTAACTAATCGAAGGAGTGGCCAAGGAGATCTAACGCTGCTGATGGATAAAAGGAGGGAGTCGAAAAGAGTTCGAGAGCTTTTGGACATCCAGACTGCTTGGCTGACGGTTCTTCAAAAGCCCAGGATCATGATCTTCGCTTTATTCCCTTATGCTCGATAAATAAATTCATTGATTTTGATTTATTGACTCCTGACCGATTATTAAATTGGGGTGGACTAAGAGAAGTAAGAAATAGTCCGACATTTGTTATTAAATTTGGATTTTTTGTTTGGTGAAGGGCAGACAGCAATTTCCATATAGCCAATACATGAAACATGCAAAACAATTCTAGCTGAAGTTCAGCAATGATATCCGCTTGTTAAGTGTGACGTCACGCGAAGCGGCTTCCGGGTCCAAGTGCTCTATTTACCAGTATGGGGAGACTCATGAAATGGTGATAATAAACGTTTACGAAGCGATGTAATACTTTCGACACTCGCGATCGCAATATAAATGTCCATGTCTAATATCCGATGGCCAGAAAGTGATTCATTTTTTATAAATTGTTTAAATTTTGGTATTTGTTATGCAGCAAGCCTAGAGATTGTTGTGTACACTGTGACTTTATATAAAATGAACTTTCATAAGCAAATACTTTCTCAACTCAAATGAGTGGCGGCTTGGACCCGGAAACAGGATTACATACGTCACCAACACGTCATCACTTAACAAGCGAATTGTAAACCATCTGATACACACAGCATGAGCGCTTATAAACGTCAATGTGATAAAAGTGCTGGTTCTGTTTAGGAATAAATTGTGACAGGGCTTTGTGTCAGCGATTCTCAAAAAGACTTAAAATAATTTTAAAACCAATGTTAATAAAACAGTTTAAACCTTAATTTAAGAACTACTTTTGACTTTGAAACTTAAAAAAGACAGAAATTATGAAAATAAAATATTTGTATTATTGACCTTATTCTAAAATGCGGAAGTGCGCCTGTTTTCGCGATTGTCTTAGAACTTCCGATTCACTCGCCTGTGGGAGAAATGACTAGGAATAATAAACGGCAGAAAACGGTCAAACTACTTGCTCTACAAACAAATGTTTGCATTACTATACAGACCAAGTAGTATAATATAACAAGAAAATATCAAATTGCAACGTCAAGCAGCGCAATGAGCAGTTTTTAATGTCTAAAAATGAATGGAAGTGAATGAGACCGGAAGTCTCGAGCCAAAAAGATTCAAATGGCAGCGCCCGCTCGTCGGCGGAGAATAAGGTCAATATTACTTTGACTAACTTACCCAACACTATATGATATACATGTAAATATTTACATGTAAAAAAAATAACACATGAAGGAAAGTTGAGGATGAATGGCATTTTTAAACACAAATTATAAACAATATAAAATAAAAGGTAATAGGAAACAGAACAAAGTGCTAAAAGAGTCACTGTTGTTCAGCCTCATTATTGAAGAGTAATGAATAAACACAAACCTATTAGTTCTTCAGTCTCTTCCTGTTTAATTCTGCAGGGTTCTGGATCACTCATCTTCTCACTGTCCTTCAATAAACTCTGTCTTTGCAGAATTCACTGCTTCCTATTGAGGTAAAGTTGGTTTTATATTCGCACATTCAGACTTTCTCCTTAATAATATAAATTGAGAAATGTATTATTTGCGAATACTATTTAGTGTAATCATATTTGCAGCCAATGACTTTCATATTACACCATTGTTTCAGTCAATTAAACAGTGCTAATGTTGTTTAGAAGTCAAACTTACATGCGATTACAGACCGAATACTCAAATTAGCGTAGTAAAGACTATAGGGGCCGAAATATAAAACCAACTTTACCTCAATCTTCTTCCTGATGGTCTGATGCTCGTCTTCACTTGTAGACTGATGGGGATATTCCAGTATTTACAGCTGAACTGAAGGAGGACGAGCTGCAAAATATTAAACAGACAAATCTGCGTAATTTACACTGATTAATGAAATAAATTATATTACAGTAGCTTTAGCTTGTAGACAATACAACAGGTAATTATGTAATTTTCTCAAGTCTGCTGAAACTAACACAATTTATTTCATTTGTAGATCTGAAAACGTCAATATAATGAGGTGAAAACAGGAACTGTTGACATGAAATAAAGAGGATTTCAGCAGCTCTGGGGTCCGTTCTTCGCACCTCGCTTAAATGATCTAAGATTATATGGCAGATCCTGGATATTTTAATCTTGATAACTGATCTCTGGCTAATTTGGTTCTTCAAACAAGTTTGTGAATCAGATTAGAATGTCTGGATGAACTGATCTGAGATCACTGCGTGTGTTGTGAAGGACAGATCTATCGATCCTCGAAATCATAATCAGCAATGCAACGATTGGCTGACGACACAGCAGCGTAATGACATCATCTGATTAATATTCAATTATCCATGTGAGCAAAATTACATCAAATTATCAGTAAACCGCTTGTTAAATATGACACGAAATAACCTTTCACATTTGTTATGAGCTGCAGGCTTTACACTTTCATGTGTCAAGAGTATTCATCATGTATTTCAATGCAAATCAATGTATTTAGTTCTACATTTAGAGAAGATTTTCTTTATTATAGTAGACGTTTTTTTAATCGGTGTAAAGAATAACTGGTTGTTTACAAAAGCATTTTCATATTGGTAAAGGCGTCTGCAACTTTTGTGAAGCATCAAATCACTGCATATTAACTATCAAAACATGTTTATGAATGCATAAATGTATTATTGCTTTTAAAAAAAGTCACATATTGTGCATTTCTATTATACACAATTTGTACTAAAGCGATCTAAAAAGTTCATATCAATAAGTTTTCTCTTTGCACCACCAGGTGGCAGTCTTTGTACTTCCATTTCGAGGGTGCATCTTGCATAAGTTTTATTAATTTGTATAAATTTATTTATTTTATTGATGACTATAACTTTCTATATATAGTTAACAAATATGTACCATTTTCCCAAGTGTATATACCTACTACTGTAAGAAAATATCAGAATTGGGAACATACTTTCTGTATCATCTTTGCTTGAACTGAGCCGATCTAATCCTGTTTATATGAATTGAACCTGCTCCCGATCAGGTTTGAGCTAGCAGAACTGTTGCTATGACAACAACTCTCGGATCAGCTTCGAAGAATGAAACGATCCTGGACCGTGTCAAATCGTCAATATCCAAATCCATCTAACTGAGTAATCCACGTACGAAGAACAGACCCCTGATAATATTGAAGAGCCTCAGACTATAAACGCTCATTAAACAGCAGCAAATCAGCTCGTTTTATACTGGGTGTTTGCACCATAAATTAATCTTCTTGTTTACTAACTGATATTTTATTTTTTATAAATCTATATAGGCTTGGTTTAAATATCCTGTAAGCATTCACTACATCTTTGCTACCACACATGGTATGTAAAGTAATGAACAAATAAGTTAGTTACTTTAGTAAGTTACTTTAACACTATCTACTATGTTGACTAGTGTCGTAATTCGACTTCTCATCAATTAGAAATTACCAGACAGGAGGTTTTGAATATCAGAAAATAGACTTTATTCTCCATAATAAAGCCGAGGAAGAGCAGAGCAGACCCCAGAGCATTTTGAAGTCTCTCCTGGACACTTCATTTCTGTGGTTCTCTCTTCATCTGCTCCTTCTTAAGTTTCTCCTGCTCCTTCTAAAGTTTCTGTGTGTTTCCAAAATCTTTATACAGGTTATTTTGACACACCCCTAGGTGTCTCATTTTACCTTTTAACTAGTGGTGGGCAAAGCGAGGCTTCGTGAAACACTGAAACAGTCGAAGCAAATGTGTCGAAGCTTCGAAACGTTTCGAAACCCCACTCTACAGTGACATCTAGTGGTCATTTTTTATGTATTGCACTGAAACAGCTTCAGCGAAGAACAGTTGAACAAATTGAGGGATTAAACCCAACTTTGTTTATCAGATCCTTTAAGTAACGTAGTATAGTGGTTAAGGTGTTAGACTTCCATGCGGGGTTTATCGGTTTCGAAGCCAGACTATGGCAGTTGTTTTGAAATGCTTCAATACCAATTGGTAACCCTTTGCTCTTGTATCGTTTTGTTTCAACATTAGTCTGATATCCGAATGAACAATTTGTGAATAAATTTGTCTTGTTTTTGTCTTAAAACAGGGTTGTTGCTAGATCACAAACGGTGGCCTGAAGTTATCAAGAATTATTTATATTATTCATTAAATTTCCCATTTATTGTATTTTATTAATGTCTACCTAAACCTAACCATACTGTAAAAATATTTATTATTGTTTTACAGTGTTACAAAAATGATGCTAAATTGATGGCGTAACTGCAGCTGTATCCTATTTAGGCTACACAAAACAGAAACATAATTAAAATACATAAAACCATGATTTCAGAGTATTTGTACAAGTCGGGATTCGAACCCAAAACATCACGCAAAGCATAGAATTACTTAGCAAACACACAGTCCTCTAAGCCATATGACACACAGATTGATTGATGACCTTGGCAGTCAAATGAGGATTCGCCAGGTTTCGAAACGTTTCAAAGCTGATCGATGCTTTGAATCGCTTTAGTCACGTGACTAGGTGTTTCGAAACACTTTTCGGATCATGCTTCGGTGCAGTGTTTCGAAACACTTGTGCTTCGGGATCTCTACACTGTGTCGAAACATCAGTTTCACGTCAGCCATCCCTACTTTTAACCATTTTAGGATAGGTTTTTACTCTAGGTGGTCCTGTTATTCTTGGCTCTCAGCCCACTAGCTCATGTCAACAGAGATGTTACAGGTCTATGTCAGCAAAGTATAGATGCAACTTATGCAAAAGGACTAAGTGTTTGTATACATTGTCATGATAGCATAATCACTTGATAACATGTTACTTATTCTAACTTCTGACATATATAGCTTCATACAAGTATTTAACATATATAATCAGTGCTTTACATATTCAGTTATTCTACACAATCAGTCACTCAGCCTTCTCCTAGTGTTGCTCCTGTGCAGGCATACTCATCTTACACAGTATTTTTAACACACGCCGGCATGTTTGCTGCAAACACTCCATACATTTTGTGAAGAGAAAATTAACTGCTTTACACTTACAAAATACTTCACACAGAGAGAATAAAATCTTATTCACTAGTTAATGAGCACCACAAATCATGTTTTCAGTGACAAACATCATATATCTGCAGCACCAAATTGCAATTACATTCACAGATCACATTTATTGACATTATTAATCCAGAAGTTGATGAAGATATACACTTAATATACACAGAAAAACTCACTCATATTGTCCTCTCAGAGCTCCTCTCTGCCTGCTGTATTGTTTTGGTCAGCAGACACACAGATAGAGGTGAACTCAATGCAGAAACTAGTCGCAGATTGTCGCTTTAATAAACTGTAAAGTGTGTTTTATTGTTGTGTAAACACGAGAAAAAGCGTGAAAGACTCAGCTCAGCTCTGAAGACTCGACGCTGGATGCTCGCGTCGGCACTGACGTCATCACGGCGAGACGCGCGCATTGGAGGATTGTAAAAAAACGCGCCAACTGTTGACAATATGGCAAGCTGTTTAGACGTTAATTCATTCTCAGCATAAAAAATCTTAAAATCAACAATTTTATTGTCGATATCAATAATTGAGTTGTTGATAACTGATTGCTATTAGTGAAAATGTGAAATATTAATATATGTCACAATGTTAACTTCGGATATAATCAATCAATGTGATTGTAACTAGTAAAATAACCAATTGTAATTGAAACTGCAATGCATGGAAACTCCACTAGGCCTGGCTTCACAATAGAGCAAATAGATTTCTATAGGAATTGATTTCTATTGACCCCCATGTTAAAATGGCCAACGGTGAGGGGGTAAATTTTTTTTTTTTTTAAATTTCACCCACTTTTATTCATATCAAGTCCGCATAATTAAGGGTGTGGCCACTTGAGTGACAGCTAGGTCTTGTTGCTCGCAGTCACGTTAACTCAGCAGACTCAGGCTGATTAGCCGCTGATCTCAGCATGTCATTTTTTTTTTTTGCTTTATGTGGCTTTACAAAGTCAATTACCTTTTGGGATTATTTCTTACATTTATCAGGTACATTTACACTTAGTCATTTAGCAGACGCTTTTATCCAAAGCGACTTACAAATGAATATATTTAAATAGGTAATATGGAATGCTGTGCACTTAATTGTGCTCATGTAATGATTGTTGAGCTCTGCATTGTGTTTTTCGCAATCGTCACCAACTCAAAGCAATGACACCTTTCAAAAGTGGCTCTCAGAGTTTCTTTATTCTGAAAAACAAATCAAATTACATAAAACAGAGGGCAATATTCTGCAGACAAAACCATAGCAGCTTCAGCCATTTTCCGCACAGCTACTTTTTGAGATTGTAACAAAACAAAATGACTTCTAAAGAGTATAACTTACATACCTGAGAAACAAATCAAATCACATGAAACACAAGACAATATACTGCAGACAAAACTAAAATTAACAAAATATGTAAATTAAACAACACTCTCAGTTTAGGGATGGTCTCGAGTCATTCCATAATACAATGCCATGATAGCAACAACATGCAATGCCCGATTCACACGACGCTTTAGCTTCATTGCTTGACAGAGGGCGTGTCTGAAGTTGGGGCTGATGCGATCATCATAGCAGCATCAGCCAATGATATAAGACCGCAATCGGCAACTGTCTGAGCTGGGGTATTTGCATAAAGCAATCTGATTGGCTGACGCTTCCATTGGTGCTTGAAAAGTTGAGAAATTCCCAAATTCTGCAGTGAGCAATGCCACTGAAGCAGCGCCGACAGATCCACAATGCAGTTCGGCAATGCTTAACATCACCCATTCAAAAGTGAATGTGAAGCGTTGACGCTGATGCGTAAAAGAAGCAAAGCTCGATAATATTGCATATCTTAATAATAGTCCACTATTTAAATATATCAGCAGCATTATAAATTTGACAACTTACATCATTCTTTTATACTCAAAAGAGAATCTGACAGACTCATTAGCTGTAAGCTATAGAACAGTCATCTGAAGCGTTGTCATATAAGTTAAGTCTAGATTTTATAAATAACCGCATTTACTAACACAGACTTAAGGCCCGTGCACACCGAGACGTTTTTTGCTGGCGTTTTCCGTCGACGTTTACCGCCTCGCAACTAAATAAAGGGCGTCAATGTGATTGTGCACACCAACGCGCAAAACGCCAGGCGCAAATGCATCATTTAAAAAAAAAAAAAAAAAAAAAAAAACGCCTCATGCTCGTTTTTTGTTTTGACGCATGCCGTCAAAACCTTCTCCACCAATCAGATCGCCACTTTTGTTCATGTGCACGGAGCTGTAGTTACAGTAAGCAGCACTTGGAGGCGCTCAAGCGCAAAACTGTCAATGCGAGCGCACATTGAAGAAGATGCCCAGAGGCGATATGAACATTTAGCGTCTTATTGCTCTGTGAACAATAGTAACTTTATAAACAAACGTGTGAACTTTCTCTCCTCCTCTTCTTCTGTGTTATAAGCGGATGTCAGAAGCTTAAAGTTGTGTAGCGCCATCTAACGTCAAGAGAGTGATTTAGCATACTCTTCTGCTTGACGGCAGTGAAAAGTGCTTGGCTTTGAACGCTGAAAAACGTCTCGTAAAACGCTGACGATAAACGCAAACTAAAAACGTCCCGGTGTGTAGGAGCCTTTATAGGTTGTTTTCACATGACGTCATTGATGACGTGCGAAATTCAAATGTAGGTAGAAGTGATTCTTCTACATGGGAATCGTTATTAGATGACCAAAATATTAAAGTTTTGTGTTGTTTATGATTGTTTAAATCGGTCAAAATAAGTACTGCCAAACAACATTTATGGACTTTCAAAAATTTTGGCTCATAAAAGGTGAAAAGTTCAAGAATTTGGCTGAAAAACGGAAGAAAAAGGCGGCATGTAATCAACATCCATTCAACACCTTACAATCATGTCTACAAACTTTTGTGGAACACGATAATTCATTTGACAGCCCCAATAAAGATTATATACAGGTCTAGCTAGGTGTATAAATATGTTACGTGTTATATAAAAATCAGATGCAAACGGCGCACTTGTAGAAAATCCAGGAGAGTATAAATAACGTACCCTACATTGTAATCGCTGCAATTAAATCTCCGTCTTGTTTTGCAAAATTCCAAGTCTTTACTGCCGTTTCGGTGAAATAAAGAACCGTAATGTTAACGTCCATATGCGCAGCAGCGGTGAGCTTCATCAACCGAACAAAAAAAAGAAACGCAACCCTTGCGACAAAACTAGACGGTTATTATTGTGGAGCACGTTTCCCCCTTACAAAACTAAAAGACAAAAGACATAGAAAAGACAACAAGGGCTTCTCGTTCAGTGTGAGACCCTTTTCAAAATATCTACGTGAGAGATTGTACAGGTGCGGATATATCTGCACCAGCTCTGCTGCTCCACTCTCCAGTGTATTCATGTGGCTAGTGTTGCTGTTTTGGAACTCCTTTCAAAACATCGTGGATTGAGAAATAATTTGAGGGATGAAAACCGCACGTCAAAGAAGCCGGAGCTCCAGAACAGACCCACTGACTGCAGAATCACCACAGACCAATGGCAGCTCAAAGGGGTTAAGCAGCCAAAATGAACTCCCTCATCTGATGCAAACTTCCACAACAAACTTAAATATAACTGTGCTGTGAACAGTTTCTCTTCAGTGTGCATCATCTCCTGTGTTTTCAGGGATTGTGACCAACTAAATCTCTTGTCGCAGTGTGAACACTTGTAAGGTCTCTAGTGTGAATCATCTGGTGTTGTTTCAATTCTCCAGCTCTAATAAAACTCTTCCCACACTCCAAGCACTCAAACTCTCTCACTCCAGTGTGGATCTTCTGATGCTCCTTTAAATTTGGCAGATGTCTATAACTCCTTCCACACTCAGAGCATGAATAAGGCTTCTCCTTCGTATGAACTCTGAGATGTTTCTTCAGCTCTGCAGGCCTTGTAAATGTTCTGCCGCATTGATCACATCTGCGTGGTCTCTCTCTAGTGTGGATCAGCATGTGTTCATTTAGATGTGATGACTGTGTGAAACTCTTCCAACATTAAGCACATGGCTATGGCTTCTGTCTAGTGTGCATCATCTCATGTGCCTTCAGGTTTTGTAAATGACAGAATCTCTTGATGCAGTGTGAACACTTATACGGTTTCTCTCCAGTGTGAACCCTCTGGTGTATTTTCAGCTGTCCGGCTCTAATAAAAGTCATCTCACACTTATCGCACGCAAACTTTCTCACACCAGTGTGGATCTTCTGATGTTCTCTTAAGAAATTTTGATGCGTAAAACTCCACGAACACTCTGAACACGAGTAAGGCCTCTCGTTTGTATGAATTCTAAGATGGATCTTCAGTGCTGAAGCCTTCAAAAATGTTTTGCTGCACTGATCACATTTGTGTGGCTTCTCTCCAGTGTGAATCTTCATGTGCTGCTTGAGATAGTATTTACACCTGAAACTCTTTCCACAGTGAGCGCAGGTGAAACGTTTTTGATCTTCACTCTCCTCCTCCACCATCAGACCTGAAAACAAAGTAAATCAACTATAGTATAAGAGGCTAGTTTTTAACAGTTTGCTAACAGCAGACAGCGCTCTAACAGGGCTCAACAGTGAGATCCCACATGGGAAACAAAGCACAACAACACAATTTGTATTACTGTCGGCTAAGTGAAGGAGTCGTTCATAACTGAGATTCATTCACAAACGAATCGCTCCCTCAGTCAGTATGAGAAGTGAAAGCAGGAGGGGGAGGGGGGTGTTTCAGGACATGATTAGATCAGATTTAACAGAGAGGGTGGTGGATAGTACATTTTCATACACACAAACACAAGCTTTTTGTCAGGAATGCCTGTGCGATCGCTGATCCATCAATGTAGAAAAGTGATATAAATTATAAGTTTTGTATTAAATAAAAAAAAATTGCATACTGACCTCCGGGGAAATCATAGATATATGTGTATATGTGTAATTCTCTGGCTCTAGATGGCCACAGTCCTTCCCTGCAGCTTGGTCCCGCATTCATTTCAAAAGAGCGCTACCATGTACTAAAATGGCGGCTTTATTGACGCATTCCTTCTAATAGACAACAACAGGGTGAGCGACATCTAATGTTTATACCTATGTGGCCTGCCTAAGAATAGTCTATGTGTGGGAAGCACTGTGCGAGTCTCGGATGGGTTTTGAAGAACTAAACGATCCTGGATCGTGTCAAATCGTCAATAACCAAATTAACTGAGTAATCCACGTATGAAGAACGGACCCCATGTCTGGTAAACGTTAAACTTATACTCGTCTATGTGCACTGATTCTGCTCAACAGTAATACTGTTGTTTGAATAAATGAAATGTCTCACAGAACCAGGCTACAGTCTTATGCTGTGTTCACACCAGACGCGGAACGTGCGGATAAATCGCGCTATTCGCGCGTAAATAGCCACGTGAACATTTGAGTTTACTCGCTTCATTTGCGCGTCAAATCCGCTTCAATCGCGTGTCAAATTCACTTCAGAACAGACGCGGATTTGCATGATGGGCAGGGCTTCTGTCTGCCCGGTGACTTTAGCTTCCTAGCTAAATGGCTAACATGGATTTTATGAAGAAAATAACAGCGTTTATGTGCTTTATGAAGACTGAAAAACAGCGTCGATACGTTTAGGGTCCTGTCTGAGTCCACTGCATCCTTTCAGAGGTGCATCCAGCTCTGTGAGCTCATAAACTCCTCCAGAAACTGAACCTGGATGACGGAGGCTTTCAGCGGTGCTTCTGACTGAGCCAAGCCCAGTTTGATGAACTGTTGTCGGTGTCGCCTGGAGGATTTCCCTCGGGACACCATCAACAGGTTCTACGTCACAATCACGCCCCCACAAGAGCAAACTTCTGATTGGTTAACGCGGCGCGAATGTCTGCTGAAGTTCAGGTTTTGAACTTGAGAGATTTGCGCGGAACACTTGTTAAGCGCGTCAAACGCGCAAAGCGCTCAATTCGCCCCGCACCATTCGCACATATTGCGCTATTCGCGCCACATGATGTCTATTCGCGCGTTTCCATTGACTTTACATGTAAATCACTCGCGCTTGACGAGTGTTCCGCGTCTGGTGTGAACGCAGCATTACAAATGACTCCTCAGGTCTTCTTTTGCTGTTTTTTACACGGGATTAAAGAGTTCAAGAGGGGTGTGTTGCTACCAAGACCAGAACACAGGAGCAGCGGAGGCTGTACTGAGCCATACTGAACTGAACTGCTCAATGAAAAAGAGCCATTAGTCTTACTGACTTTATCTATTTAATATAAACACAAACAGCTTGTCACGCTCCAAAGACAAAAAATATATTATATGATGATCGTAAATAATACAACCTGGAAGAGCTGGATCTGTAGATGATCTACTTACAGTGGTATCTTTTTCTGTGCCTTTGTAGAGCAGATGAATCTTTGAAACTCGTCCCACAATCAGCGCAGTGATACGGTCTCTCTCCAGTGTGAACCCTCTCGTGTGTTTTCAGGTGTGTTGGATTACTGAATCTCTTGTGGCAGTGTGAACACTCATAAGGTTTCTCTCCAGTGTGGATCCTCATGTGGCGAATGAGATCACATTTATGTCGGAAACTCTTTCCACACTGTGTGCAGGTGCAACTTTTTACAGTTGTTGTTTTCACTGAAATACTATGTTTAATCTCTGATTGAGTTTCTTCTTCAACTTTGACATGATGTTTCTCCTCATCTTCACTCAGATCTTCAGTCTTCACCATCACATCTGAAAATTAATTAAATAAGATGCAATTTAAGAGGCTGGGATGTGCCAAGTTTGCTTACAGTGTAAGCAATTCGGGTACTAGGCTATAATTGGTTAATAATGCTGCAAAACAATTCTATCTGAACTTCAGCTGTGATATTGTGAACCGTCTGATACACACAGCATGAGCGCTTATAAACTTCAATGTGATAAAAGTGCTGGATCTGTTCAGGGATATGTTGTGAATAGGAGCCATATTACTTTTCATTTAATTATAATGTTTATTTGTATACTGATTAGTTTGGGTTTCACAGTGACGTTTTATGTTTTGGTCACGTGGGCATAACTGGCCCCTGCTAGAACATATAAAGCGCGTGCACAATCACACAGGTGTTAGGAGGAGAGAAGGAGAGTGGGGTAGCCGTATTTTTTGTTGACCGCAAAACAGCCACGCAAACAGCAACGCAAAACGGCATCGCAACGGCACACGCAACAACCATCACACCAACGCAATAATCGGCATCATACAAAACAGGTATTCAAAGACACAAATTGCTGTATTGTTTGTCATGCTTCAAGTTTACATAAAGTTTTCCATATAACATCTTGGGCTCAGTGTGTCTGTCTAAAGCCACCAGCGCGTCACAAATACAAAGGACCCTCACTGCCTCTCGAGCGACTTATAGGAGGCATCAGGAAGTCGCAATATTTTGACAGGACTTTGTGTCAGCGATTCCTAAATGACTATAAAAAAAATGTGAATAAAACGGTGTAAACCTCTCTCATATTTTTCAGTCAATTTCAAATAAATTTAAAAACTACTTTTGACTTTGAAACTTAAAAAAGACAGTAATCTATTTCTTTGAGAAACTTACAAAGCACTATATAATATATGTAAATGTATTTGGCAAAATTTAATATATGAAAGAACATTGAGGATGAATTGCTTTTTAAAACTAATTGTAAACCATATTAAATAAAAGGTAATATGATTATGATTAAGACTGCTAAAGAGCTAAAAGATTCACAAGCTTTCAGTTATTTAGCCTTATATTGAAGAGTAATGAATAAACACAAACCTATTAGTTTTTCAGTCTCCTCCTCTTTAATTCTGCAGGGTTCTGGATCACTCATCTTCTCACTGTCCTTCAATAAACTCTGTCTTTGCAGATTTCTCTTCTTCCTGATGGTCTGATGCTCGTCTTCACTTGTAGACTGATGGGAATATTCCAGTATTTACAGCTGAACTAGAGGAAGAAACAGACAAATCTGCTTAATTTACACTGATTGATTAAATAAATTATATTACGGTAATTTTATCTTGTAGACAATGCAACAAATAATTATGTAATTTCCTCAAGTCTGTTGAAACTAATACAATTACCTTCATTTGTAGATCTGAAGACATCAATATGAGGTGAAAACAGGAACTGCTGACAGGAAGTAGAGGATTTCAGCGGATCTGATAATATTAATGAGTCTCAGACTATAAACACTCATTAAACAGCAGCAGATCAGCTCATTTTATACTGACTGTTCAACACAAAATTATTTATTTTTCAGAAATCTCAACAGGCCTACAGTTTAAATACCTCATAACCATTTACCACATCTTTGCTTACGTTACTACATAATATTAGGAATGTAAAGACACACACAAAAAAAACCTTTTAGTCAGTTACTTTAATACGATCTACTATATTCACTAGTGATTAATGAGCACCACAAATGTTTTCAGTGATGTCATATATCTGCAACACTAAATTACATTTACAGCTCACATTTATCGATTTTATTAATGCAGAAGTTGATGAAGATACACACTTAATATACACAAAAAAACACAAACTCACTCATATTGTCCTCTCAGAGCTTCTCTCTGCCTGCTGTATTGTTTTGGTCAGCAGACACACAGATAGAGGTGAACTCAATGCAGAAACTAGTCGCAGATTGTCGCTTTAATAAACTGTAAAGTGTGTTTTATTGTTGTGTAAACACGAGAAAAAGCGTCAACGACTCACCTCAGCTCTGAAGACTCGACGCTGAATGAACGCGTCAGCGCTGACGTCATCACGGCGAGGCGCGCGCATTAGAGGATCGCAAAAAGCGCGCCAAATGTTGACAATATGGCAAGCTGTTTAGACGTTTCAGTTTTAAAATATGAATTCTTGAAATCAACAATTTTATTGTGAAACCAATACTAAAGTAACTAAAACTGCATTAATTGAAATTCTGCTAAGCCTGGCTCCAAAATAGAGCAGATAGATTTCTAGAAATAGATTTCTATAGGGTATATGCACCCAGGGCCGGAGTGGGACTATGGTATTCTGATGAGAATAAAAAATAAGTAATGACTTGTGACCCTTAAGACACAGCATTACTTTCTTTTGATGGCTTAATCTTTTTCTCCCTTTTTTAGATTTCTGATCAAGTTATGTCAGATTTATTATTGTAGTGAATCATCTGATTTTCATTGAGCAGGGGCCTGTTTCAGAAAGGAGGTTAACTGAAAACTCAGAGTATTTTAACCCTGAAATGAGAGAAACTCTGGGTTTTCCGTTTCAAAACGGCAGGTTTGTTCAACTCGAGAAAGCAGGGTAAGTCAAGCCTGTTTCTGAAAGAAAGGTAACTTTAACTCAGAGTCAGTTACTGTGGTAACTTACTCTGTGAATCTAACCTGGTCAGAAGCAGGTTTTATTCTCTAAACTCAGAGTTTCTGTCGCTCTCCTCCCCTTTTTTAAGATGAAGCGGTATTTCTCGCCTTAGCCTTACGTTTCCACCCACCTATTTTAATGCTCATTTTGGATACGTGCATAAAAACGATTGATGGAAACGTCATGATGCACATAACTTTTTAAAATATGCATAAAAACGCGCATAACTGAGTAGGATACACTTTTATTCAATAGAAAATGTGCGCATAAACTACGATGCGCATAAACTACGAACACTTTTACTGAACAAATTACAGTATGTACATTAAAAAAAAGATCATGATCATATGATAATGAATGTGTGTAAATGAACAAACCAGCAGGCTCAGCACACTGTAAGACGTCTTAAATATTGTTTTAGTCATTCTAAAATGCCTTTACTGTTTCAGTATTAGTGTATATTATTAATTACCTCCGAACGTCTGGTGCGTGAGTCTCCGCGTCTCATGGCTTCAGACGCCCCCACGTGTTCATTGTGTTTCAGCATTGTCTTCTGACATCGAGGCGCAAGTACATTAATTAGGCTAAATAAAGAATTAATTGACGCAGCTTCTTCTACCACAGTAAATTCTGTTTTTACTGTTGATATTTGGTGCCAGTTTAATCAGAAAGTGACAATTTTTTTCTCTTTGACTCGTTGGATGGAATTTTATTCGCATCTTTTATGCAATATTCCAGTTTTGCACATACATTTATGTAATATATTTGGATGGAAACATAGCTATTGCCTACATTTTAGTCACACAGGGAAGAACTGTACGAGAATGGCTTATCCTTTTTTAATAAATAATTAAATTAAATTCACCTTCGACATGCACTGTAACTAGATTAATGGGATTATTATTCTTTCTAATAATTATTTTTAGTACTGCTTACCGTCTAAATGTTATATTAACCTCTATCACTTGATCAATAAAAAAGGCAGACACACAAGTGCACTGTTAAATCATTTAAAACTAATAAATGTATAAAAAAAAGTTTAGAAAAAAAATATAAACGTCACAAACTACATCACTTATTTTATTATACTTGCATATTTAAATACTTAAAAAGTGAAATTAGGCATTAACTTGAGCAGCTGTTTTCCCACGCTAACTGTCTCTTCTTCACTGATGGTTGCTTCTTTTCAAATATATACGCTCATATTTGCTATAACTTTGCATGAGCACATCAAGTTCAGCTGGAGAAAGAAATGCTGATCTCTTTTATAAGATATTGCCATAGTCACTCGTAATATCTGCGCTCCATTGATAATGCCTTTTTATAGTCACGGTGTGCGCGCTTAACTCTGAGTTGGTCTACTCGAAGTTGATTGACCCAACTCAGATCAGCTGTTCTGAAACCGAAAACTCAGAGTTTTTAATCTCTCGGTAAATCAACTCAGAGTTCAAGTTTAAACTCTGAGTTGTTTGAACCTCCTTACTGAAACAGGCCCCAGGTGTATTATTAATCAATATTAATTATTCGAATTCTTATATTCACTAAGGTGCCGCTGTTTGGAGTCGATAGTTACATCATCATCATTAAAGTTAGTTAACCTGCAGGCTGCATTTTGCTCACGGAGGCTGCGAGAAAATAAATAAGAAGAGCGGCGCTGCGGCAAAAGAATGAATAAAAAGAGTGAGGCTATGGTCAAATAAACAAATAAATGAAAAAAGTGTGACTGCTGAGAGTGCAAGCAGCTAGGGACACCGGCCCTCGCGGCCAAAAAACAGACCGGCCCACCGGGAATTCTCCCGGTCCTCCCGATTAGCCAATCCGGGCTTGTATGCACCGCTTGTCTTTCGTTCCCCATACCGATAAACTTCCGGTGAACCGTTAATGTGACTTTTTCAATTCTATACGGTTCCTTTTACAGCACAGATGTTCTAATGTAATTGTAATATGATCAGTTAAGAAGACTCAAACATTAATTTAATTGTTTAAATGAAAAATGAGATGAAAAACTGTTTACACTGACTTACCGAAATTTCATTGAAAATACTGGAATAAAACAGTCAGATTTTACATTTACATTTAGTCATTTAGCTGACGCTTTTATCCCAAGCGACTTACAAATGAGTACAAGGAAGCAATTTACACAACTATAAGAGCAACCATGAGTAAGTGCTGTAGGCAAGTTTCAGGTGTGTAAAGTGTAAGAAGCAAAGTATTGCTTTACAAAAGTGCAATACTAAAAAATAAAGTATTTTTGTAATACAGTAGCGGTTAAACCAGAGAGGCAATTGCTGATTAGTAAGAAAAGTGGAGACTAAATAGTTGAGTTTTTAGTCGTTTTTAGCGAGTGACTCTGCCGTTCTGATGCAGTTCGGGAGTTCATTCCACCAACTGGGCAGATTGAATGCGAGAGTTCGGGAAAGTGATTTCTTCCCTCTTTGGGATGGAACCACGAGGCGACGTTCATTCACAGAACGCAAGTTTTCAAAGATATGGCATGGAAATGTAATTCAATGCAGAGCTTCTTGTACATTTTGATACCCACTTTATGTCATACACCAATCAGGCAATCAACAATTTGATCACATCTGTGTGGTCTCTCTCTAGTGTGGATCAGCATGTGTTCATCGAGATGTGATGACTCCTCCCACACTGAATACATCATTCGGTTTCTATGCAGTGTGCATCATCTCATGCGTCTTCAGGCTTTGTATATGACTGTATCTCTTGTTGCAGTGTGAACACTTATACGGCTTCTCTCTAGTGTGAGTACTCTGGTGTCTTTTCAGTTGTCCCGCTCTAATAAAAGTCTTCTCACACTTATCGCACACATGCTCTCTCACACCAGTGTGGATCTTCTGATGGTCTCTTAAATACTGCTTTTGTGTAAAACTCCACGAACACTCTGAACACGAGTACGGCTTCTCGTTTGTGTGAACTCTAAGATGGTTCTTCAGATCTGAAGGCCTCAAAAATGTTTTGCTGCACTGATCACACTTGTTTGCTTTCTCTCCAGTGTGGATCCTCATGTGATGCCTGAGATAGTATTTACACCTGAAAGTCTTTCCACAGTGAGCGCAGGTCAAACCTTTTACAGCTGTGGTTTTCATTAAAAAACTATCTTCAGCCTTTGGTTGAGGTTCGTCTTCAGTTTTGACATGATGTTTCTGATCTTCACTCAGCACTTCACTCTCCTCCTTCACCATCAGATCTGAAAACAAAGTAAATCAATTATATTATAAGAGGCTAGTTTTTAACAGTTTGCTGACAGCAGACAGCGCTCTAACAGGGCTCAACAGTGAGATCCCACATGGGAAACAAAGCACAACAACACACTGTGTAGCTCCATTATGCTGCGTTCACACCAGACGCGGAACGCAAGTGCGAGTGACTTACATGTTAAGTCAATGCAAACGCACGAATAGACATTCTGCGGCGCGGTACGTGCAAATTGCGCGGGGCGAATAGTGCGGGGCGAATTAAGCATTTGACACGCAAATCAATCGAGTTCAAAAATCTGAACTTTAGCGTACATTCGCACCGCATTAACCAATCAGAAGCTTGCTCTTGTGGGGGCGTGATTGTGACGTAGAACGTTGATGGTGTCCCAGGGGAAATCCTCCAGGCGACACCGACAACAAGTCATCAAACTGGGCTTGGCTCGGTCAGAAGCACCGCTGAAAGCCTCCGTCATCCAGGTTCAGTTTCTGGAGGAGGTTATGAGGTGGATGCACCTCTGAAAGCATGTAGTGGACTCAGACACGGCCCTAAACGAATCGACACAGTTTTTCAGCCTTCATAAAGCACATTAACACTGTTATTTTCTTCATAAAATCCATGTTAGCCATTAAGCAACGAAGCTACAGTCATCGGGCAGACAGAAGCCCTGCCCATCACGTGAATCCGCGTCTGTTCTGAAGTGAATTTGATGTGTGAATGAAGCGGATTTGACTCACGAATGAAGCGTTGTTAGACGCACGAATGAAGCGAGTAACTTTAAATGTTCACGCGGCAATTTCCGCGCAAATAGCGCGATTTATCCGCGCGTTCCGCGTCTGGTGTGAACACAGCATTAGGGGTATGCTCTTTATACCTCTCTTAAACGATCTATGATGATTCTGGATCTTTCAGTCTTTTTAACTGATCTCTGGCTAATTTAGTTCTTCAAACAAGATTAAAATATCTGGATAAACTGATCTGGGATCGCTGCGTGTGTTGTGAAGGACTGATCTATCGATCCTCGAAATCATGTCAGCAAGGTAATGACATCGTGTGATTAATATTCAATTATCCATGTGAGCAAATTGAAAAAATTTATATTGAAAAAACTGTACAAAAGCACGCAACTGGGTGCTCTGCCAAAAAAAAAAAAAAAAAAAAAAAACGCAAAAAGTGCAAATAAATGTTAATCAAAGGCGGGAACACCAAGGCTCCGAAAATACAAATGTATAAAATTAAAAAGGCTGACACAAAGCGTGTAACGTTTCGAGCCACCCGGCTCTTCCTCAGACAATTTTTTTTTGTTTGTTTGATGAAGAGCCTGGTGGCTCGAAACGTTACACGCTTTGTGTCAGCCTTTTTAATTTTATACATTTGTATTTTTGGAGCCTTGGTGTTGCCGCCTTTGATTAACAAAAATTTATATTGAATCATTTGTTTAACATGAAACGCAATAACTTTACACCTTTGTAGTGGGCTTTACACTTTCATGCATAAAGGGTATGTAGCAATTTCTTTAGTTTTACTTTACTTTATTATATATATATATATATATATATATATATATATATATATATATATATATATATATACAACAGTTCTGTCTGGTTCTTGAATCTGATTGGCTGATAGCAGTGCAATATTTTGCCAGTAACATCACAAAAACGCCTCTTCACCCTTAACCTCTGTGTATTACTCCACCCACATACAACCAGCAACAAGCAGAGACACTACAGTTTGACAAATATTACTGTTGTTAGACAACAAAATGTACATTTTGTCGAGAATGTAGTTGTTTAGATTGTAACTTTGCAGTTTATTTGTAAGAATAGTGCCCATTTAAAAACATTTACAATTTCTGAGAGGGCTTTTCGGCGGCCATTAGCCTGTCATAGAGTAGACCAAAGACGGTTGACGTTGTCCATCCACAAGATGGCACCAGGACTTCATAATAAGCCCTTGCTTAGTGTGTTTTACTGAGAGCGAACAAGAAGCTGAAAAACAGAAGCGCCACTGTTTTTAAGGTGGACCGGATAGCGTCAATAAGAAGCTGCGAATAAGAAGCTGAATTCAGTCTCGTCCCTCCTTAACGCAAACACAACAGCAGTCTGGTAGTGGTTGCACTGCTTTTTTCGGGGTTAATTGTTGTGATATTGTAACGGCCGCTTAATGTTTGATATGCATTTAGTATAACGGTCATGTCCCATTTAGGAGGACTTCTTCTGTGGTTGTTTTACCTTTGAGATGTAAGCACGCATGAATGAGAGCTCACTTCAGTTCTGGCGAGCTGTGTGTGTGTGTTATGGTCGCTCTACCGCTGTATTATTCTTTTATTTCAATTGAGTGTCTTTTTCTTTTGTCTACTAATTGTCGTTTACTGGTATGTATGTAGTCGACAGCGCTTGGAAACAACGCATAAAGACCGATAGGAAGAGCGAAGACAAATGAACATATTTTATCAACTGCACAATGATCCTAAATAATACAACCTGGAAGGTCTGGATCTGTAGATGATCCACTTACCGTGATATTTTTTTCTGTGCTTTCGTAGAGCAGTTGATTGTATGTAACTCTTCCCACAATCAGTGCAGCGATACGGTTTCTCTCCAGTGTGGATCCTCTCGTGTGCTTTCAGGTATCCTGCATCCCTGAAACTCTTGTGGCAGTGTGAACACTTGTACGGTTTCTCTCCTGTGTGGATCCTCATGTGGCGATTGAGATCGCCATTATTCCCAAAACTCTTTCCACACAGAGTGCAGGTGAAATCATTTACGGCTGTTCTTTCCATTAAAATGCTATGTTCAGTGTCTGATTGAGTTTCTTCTTCACTCTTGACATGATGTTTCTCCTCATCTTCACTCAGTTCTTCACTCTCCTCCTTCACCAGCACATCTGATAATCAAGTAAATAGGTTACATTAAGAGGATAGTTTGAGTGCATAAAATGTAAAATGTGTCCAGAAGAACATTTGTGAACAAAAGCTTGAATAATAAATAAATAAAACCTGATCAATGAATGGGAAACTAGGTTATTAATGCTGCAAATTAATGCTGAAAAATAATTGTAACTGAACTTTAGCTGAGATAATGCGGACCGTACTTCTCAACATTAAATAAACAATACAAAATAAAAGGTAATAAGAAAAAAAAGACTGATGAAGTGCTAAAAGGTTCACAACCTCAGTTATTCAGCCTCATTATTAAAGAGTAATGAATAAACACAAACCTATTAGTTCTTCAGTGTCTTCCTGTTTAATTCTGCAGGGTTCTGGATCACTCATCTTCTCACTGTCCTTCAATAAACTCTGTCTTTTCAGATTTCTCTTCTTCCTGATGGTCTGATGCTCGTCTTCACTTGTAGACTGATGGAATTAATCTAGTATTTACAGCTGCACTCAAGGAAGAAACATGGAAATCTGCTTAACTTAAACTGATGAAATAAATTATATTATGATAGCTTTATCTTGTAGACAATACAACAGGTAATTATGTCATTTCCTCAAGTCTGTTAAAACTAATACAACTAACTTCATTTGTAGAACTGAAAACATCAATATTATGAGGTGAAAACAGGAACTGTTGACATGAAATAAAGATGATTTCAGCAGCTTTTAAAGCTCCTCGCTGCCTGTTGTATTGTTTTGGTCAGCAGACACACAGATAGAGGTGAACTTAATCGCAGATTGACGCTTTAATAAGCTGTTAAGTGGGTTTTATTGTTGTGTAAACACGAGAAAAAAACGTCAAGGACTCACCTCAGCTCTGAAGATTTGACGCTGAATGAACGCGTCAGCGGTGCTGACGTCATCGCATCGAGGCGGGAGCAACGGGGGATTAAAAAAAGCGCCAGCTAAACTTTTCCTCACTCTTCAAATCTTCAAACAACAATTCTCATCTTCAACATGCTGAACACTACACCCAAGCAGCAAAATAAAGATAATACTATAAAAAAACAATAAAACGAAACACAAAATAATACTACAGCCTTATTAGGAGGTCAATCTTTAAATAAACAAAAGTTTAAACAGCTTTAGGGCACTTTTGTATTTAAATGTTATATAGACTGAAATAAAACTGATTTAAAAACAAATGCTGTGAAACAAGAAAAAAAAAACAGACAAGATATTAACATTAGAAGCCAAAACAATTGGAGATGTAGACAAAAATCCATCTTAGTCTCAGTCATGTCTGAGGTGAAATGCTGTTTAATGGACATTTAAAACATTGGTAAGAGCACTTATGCAATTGGCACTAAGGGCAAAATTAAGAAGTGAAGTAATAATTATGTTCAATCAAACAAAAGTACAAAATATAAAAGTATGAATAATGAGAGCGAACAATAAAAAATGACTGCTATAGATCATTTCAACGTGATGTCACCATGTCATTTGCCCATGAACATTTCCTGTTTGTTGTCAAAACTATTTCATAACTGTAGGAAGAGGCAATTCAATCATAGCGTTAAAACAGCGGTCATAACATTATTAATATGTGGCTTTTTTTGGTTTCACAAAATCTGTTGAGATTAAAAATGTAAAACAGCAAATACGCTGGGACCACTGTTTTTGTTTACATCCTTCAAAATAGTCTATAATGGGAATAAATGGGGGGAAAAACAACAATATATCTGACGGTAGTTGGCATCTCTAGTTTTTAAAATGACAGACATCAAAATAAATCTTTGTATTATACTTGTTGAAAAATCTAAATTAAAGATTAACAGAATTACAGGTGATGGAGACGTATAAGAGATTTCAACATTATACTAAAGTTTGGGAACTTTAGCTGTCATATCGCCAACTGTCCATAAATCCACTCTTTGTTTTTGTTTACTCCATGTAGTTCTGAGAGCCGAGGTGATATTCTGATTTTCTCAGACACATCAAGGTACGTGCTAAGGTCACTCTTACACTAAATGACCTTTAATAATAAAACCTTCAGATAATATGATCTATGAGCTAATCAGAATTTAACTCCTCATACTACTGTAGATTATTAGGCTTCATTCAAAAACAGTTTTGATTACTAAACTTGGTTATTTTAAATTAAATCACATTATTTTATTGTAAAAATACTTCCAAATATGCCTTCTAGAGCAGATAAATCCTATTAAAAGAGCCTTACTATAATTTTTATTCATTATTCACACTGTTTAACCACATGAAACTTAGATATAAGCACTGAAAGAAATTTCTATGCAATTTTTTCATCATACCATTGCAATTGGGATCAAAACCGTCGGTGTGTGCAAAGACAAGGTGTCTCCTCTACAACAATCAGCTGGTGTGTAATCTGGCAGAAAATGTAAGGAATTATTATTATTATGAGGTGGGCTTCTCGTTCAGCATGAAACCCTCTTCAATATCCCTCTGCGAGTGAGCGTACAGGTGCGGATACATCGGCAGCTCCACTAAGACTAACCGTACGTTCACACTGAAAGCGGCGAGAGCGCCGAAGTAGCCGGAAGGTCATTCATTTTCAATGAGAGCCAGCAGCGAGGACCAGTGCGGCAGGTCTTCACTGTTGTAGGCGTCAAGGAGAGTTGAAATCAAGTTACCTTTATGGTAATGATCTATGAAGCGGTTTGGCGGCAAATAATCAAAATGAAGAAGTACACACCTTGAGAGGAGTTCAGAGAACACAGACCTGTGAACTTTGGTTTCAAACACAGTTGTTCCCTAGGGTTTGATTATTGCGGTTGCCGGATTACCTATTGTTTACATTGTTTTCTTACAGAAACAGACATTAAATAAGTTACTGATGTGCAATAATGTTATATATTTTTATCTTTAAAAAAGCGTGAATCTCATGCGACAATACAACACAGTACTGCTGCTTCAGGATATTTCAGACATATGGACACATCAGATAATTAAGTGGAGCAAAGCCACACCACATGCAACTTGATTTTCCATTGTTAAATGAATTTGATAAGAAATGCGCAACATTTTCATGCTAGAAAGCGTGTTTTATGCAGGAATGTAGATGATATGCTGCAACGGCTCCTTTAAATACGAGATCAATGTAGCGAATTTTGACGCTCTCGCCGCTTGAGCTGAAGACAGACAGCTTTGTCACCAGGGTGGCCGGAGTGACCTTTGATGCTCTCGCTGCCTTCAGTGTGAATGCATAATAAGAAACTAACTTGAACTAAGAAATCTGCTAGCGTTACAGCAGTATTATTGTCTATTGACTGAGTCCAGTCAAATGTAGGGTTCAGTACAAGTTGTTGCTGTTTGTTTTTAAAGGTTTGAATGGTCTGGGCGCCTACTTACACTGGTGAGCTTCTTCATTGGCATACTTCATCTAAGCCTCTTTAGTCGGCACAACAGTTTCAGCCGGTTGTTTCCAATTCTCAATCAAAATCAAAAGGAGACGAGGCTTTATCTCTTGCAGCCCCTCGTCTGTGCAATGGTTTACCTTTCTACATCAGATCTCGCTCTTCCCTTGGTGATTTTAAACATTCTTTTTAAAAGATCATCTTTTGTCTCTTGCTTTTGATTGTAATGACTCTTATTTTGCTCATATAAGCAAGTTTAGATTTGAGTTGTTTGATTTGTAAAACACTTGGGACTCTTTTTCAACCCTGGAGTTTCAAGCCTTAGGGTGCTTTCACACTTGTGAATCGATTCAGTTGTTCCCGAAACAGAGATTACAATTGTTACATTGTTGCTCTTTGCTCTTGGAGCGGTTCGCTTTCACACTGCAAAGTCTCTAATCGGACCAAAAGAGCTAAAACAAGTCACGTGCGAGTAAACTCTCCTCACATTGGTCAGAGTGTCAGGGTTTATTTTGCAGCGTCCCGCTCAGCTGTCAGGAGAGGTGGTGGTTTGGTGGTGATTGACAGGGAGCGCACATGTGACGTGTCTGAGGAGAGACGCGGTGGGGAGGGGTGAGAAAGGTGCACGACGTAGCCTATTTGAGGACCGGGAGGGAGACGCGAGATTACCACTCGTTTGCGGGCATCCGGAGACTCGCGAAACTTCCCGCCCTACTTTTAATTCTCTCTTCTATTACATATCCATAAAACACTGTGATATAACCGCGCTCGGATCGCATCGCTTTCTCACTGCAATCGAACCGCTCCAGGGTTCGTTTCAATCGAGCCGAGACCACCTCATTCAAGCGATCTCGGAGCGATTACTTTGGCGCGAAACAGAGCGCGATTACCCTGTTCACATATGCCAAACGAACCGCGCTAACTGGGCAAACGAGATGTGTTCCGAAACAAAAGTGTAGGTGTGAAAGCACCCTTAGACCGGCCCATCTCAGTTCACGACTGACTATTAAAATAAGGTAATTTCCAATTCAGTTTCTAAGGACACTATCACGTCTTTTTTCACAAAACAGCTGCTTCAGAACTTCAAATTTTTAACAACACTCACAGTATTATATGTCTTAACATTAAAAAATGAAAAAAAAAAAACAATTTTTCAGATGAGGTTCGAACACGGGTCGGCCGTGTCATAATTTAACGTGCTGACCACTGGACCACAGTGGCGCTGTTACGCTAATGTGGCTGGAATGAAAAACAAATATTGCACTATGACCTGAAAGACTTTTATTGATGGCTTAATCTTTTTCTCTCCTTTTTAGATTTCTGATCAAGTTATGTCAGATTTATTAATGTAGTGAATCATCTGATGTTCATTGAGCAGGTGTATTATTAATCAATATTAGTTATTCGAATTCTTACATTCACTAAGGTGCCGCTGTTTAGAGTCGAATGAAGATAGTTACATCATTAATAATCTGCAGGCTGCATTTTGTTTACGGGGCTGCGAGAAAATAAATAAAAAGAGCGGAGCTGCGGTAAAATAATGAATAAAAAGGGTGAGGCTATAGTCAAATAAATAAATAGATGAAAAAAGTGCGACTGCTGAGAGCGCAAGCATCTAGGGACACCGGCCCTCGTGGCCAAAAAACGGACCGGCCCACCGGGAATTCTCCCGGTTCTCCCGATTAGCCAATCTGGGCCTGCACTTTGGCCAACATTTGTTGTTTTTAAATGTGCCATAAAAATAAAACCCAACAAACACCCTCCAGAGTATTCATGTGGTTAGTGTTGTGGTCTCAGATGTTGTGGAATAAGAAATTAATTTGAAGGAAAAAAACTTGTCGAAGCAGCCGGAGCTCCAGAACAGACGCACTGACAGCAGAATCACCACAGACCAATGGCAGCTCAAAGGGGTTAAGCAGCCAAAATGAACTCCCGCATCTGATGCGAACTTCTACAGCAAACTCAAAAATAACCCAGTTTCAGATGGAGTTTTCAGTTTGTTGTTCAGTTTTGTTTAAAGTATAACAGGGACTTACTGCTTAAGGGTTGTACACAGAAACTGACTGTTTTTTCATTGAGTTATCTCATGAATGAAAACAGGAAAAATCATTTGGAAATCCTTGTTGGGGGCTGAGCAAGTTTCTGGTGGAGCGAAAGGACATGGATGAGGCTTCTCCTTAAAGCTGATTTATACTTCTGCATCAAACGGCGGCGTATGCTACGGCGCTGACGCATAGCCCTTTACCATGGCCGTCAGCGCAATAGCGCAAGCTCTGTGATTGGTCGGTTTAGTAGCGCTGACGAGTCTGGGCGGGACCGAGAGCCGCGTGAATGGTGCGAGCCTGATGGAACGATTGTTTACAAGTGTGGAGTCCCGTGAAGTTTTGCTTTGTGTTTACCTCATGGTTAAAGTTGTTGCACGTTCGCCGGTTCCTGCCTCAAAATGAGCGAGTTTGAGCCACTTGTACATCCAGGAAGTGTTCAGGAAAACAAAACACCAGCGAAGAAACTCGACACAGAGGAACATTTACACCTCACTGCCAACTAGCGTTTCAGAAGTGTAATGCAGACCAACAGAGACAGCGCAGAAGTATAAATGCACAGCTACACGCGTTGCCTGCGCCGTGGGTTACGCCTTTTCACTTGATGCAGAGGTATAAACCAGGCTTTATTCTCCCCGTCCTTATTTACAGTGAACTGTAAGATGTCTCTTCAGCACAGAAGCCTTGAAAAATGTTTTGCTGCACTGATCACATTTGTGTGGCTT